CAGGAAAATTATCTGCTCTTTGCACCTCCCCCAACGCCATATGCTTCCTTTAAAACCCCTCTTTCTGGACTTGAAAGGACCAGAATTTGATGGTATTAATGTGTTTGAAGTCACAGGCTATTGGAAACTTCCTCTAGTTTTGTATTTGTCACTTGGTATAGTAAAACATGAAATCCAAGTTGATTGATAAGGTAAAAATAAAATGACGAACAGTTAATGAAAAGAATTAAGTTAGCAGGTGACTTTTAAAATAAGCCAGTTAGCCTTAAGTAAATTAACATAGTCCTAAGACTAAGTTACATAGCTAGCTATTTGAGTGTCTAGCATGAGAACGCTTGGTTACACCAGCAAAACAGTAAATGGTAGACCTCCCAAGGCTAGGACAAGTTCAAGCAAACTTCATTGAAAAATCAGATTTTATTGGTTGTCTTGCTTTGTGATATAATAAGAAAAGTAGGCAGAGAGAAAGACATGAATAGTGGGTAGTGTCAGAGGAATACTGGCAACATAGTACACACGTTACACTGTTCCTTGGATGCCACGGTGCTCATGTATCCTTAAGCCACAGTCCTTAATAGCTCAAGAAAAAGGCATTGTCTTCCTTTTTCCAGAAAAACTCAGGAGGTAGCTCCCTGGAGACTCAAAGCAAAGATTCAGTGGGAATTTAAATAAACCAGGGACATTACAACCCATAATTTCTACCCAGAACAAGTACTTCTAAAACTCTGTTTTCTCCAAAACACTTGCCAAAATTGGTTCTCAGTGTAGCCTCTTGGAGGAAGAAGACATTTACATTGAGATCTGCAGATCCAGCTGTGGTGGGCAGGTGAGTCTGGGGCAAGAGGAAAGGGAAAGCAGATGCTCAGTGTTTCTTGGACTCAACAGAACCAGCTGTGGTCCTGAACTCCAAGAAGACCAGCCTTCTCCCATTTCTGGATGGAATTCAGAAAGCAGCCTATGGCTGCTACTGTGCTATCATATGGTCTCAGTCATAGTTTGGGGGTTGATTCAGAAAATGAGGTTTACATAGTTGTTTTGTGCAAGAGATTAGGAACAATGAGCATGAGCACAAAGGGGCTGCTATGTAGTAGTCAAAAGTTCATGCATCGCCGGGCGGTGGTGGCGCACGCCTTTAATCCCAGCACTGGGGAGGCAGAGGCAGGCAGATCTCTGTGAGTTCGAGGCCAGGCTGGACCCATAGCCTCCAAAACAATACAGAGAAACCCTGTCTCGTAAAAACCAAAAAAAAAAAAAAAAAGGTTCATGCATCTACATTACTGACCAAGAGACCCAGAGTTGGTGATGCCTGTTGCCACCTTTCAGCCTAGGTTCTACTATGCCCCTCTGCTTACACAGTCCACTTTCAAGAAGAAAGCAATTCTGAGGGCTTCTGCTGTCCCTTCTTTGTTTTCACATCCTAGCATCAAATTAGAGCTGCTGTCAATTCCACTCTCCTAGTCATGGTGAATAAAATAACTGAACAAATTAGGAATGGAATATCAGCACCCACTCAGGAGTATAAACCCCAGCTCTGGGCTCCCGGCTTCCCACGCAACCTCCTCCTCATCAAAACAACAACAAAAACCAAACCAAAACAAACAAGCAAACAAACAAAACTGTGGTCTCACAGTACCCCCTCTTGGCTGACACAGGGATTTTTTTCTTTCCCAGAGATTTCTATCTTCTCTGTTTCATAGGTCACTGAGGTGTTAAGTCCAGCCTGAACCCTTCATTTCTCTCAAACTCTGTGCAGCCTTTCTTACTCCATTACTTTTGAAAAAAATGTTATTGGAGCTGAGGAGACGATTTGGCCTATAAAGTGCTTACTGCATAAGTAGGGAGATCTGAGGTAGATCATCAGGCACAGGTGAGTACTCCCAGTGCTGAGAAGTAGAGACAGGAGGATCCCTGGGGCCCCTGGACAGGGAGGAGAGCCAACTCTAGGGGCTCAGAGTTCAGTGACAGACACTCAGTTAAAGATAAAGAGATGGAGAGAGACTGCAGAAGACACACAGAGTCAGCTCTGGTCTCCAAACACACTCAAACACATGTGCGTGTGCACCTGTACACACACACACACACACACACACACACACACTTCTAATTATGTAATTATTTCAGGAATATCCATTTCTTGTTCCCTTTTATCCCTTCACTTTATTCCATCTATATGGCTGAGAAGCATAAATGCACATCTCTATTGAGTAAAATCTCTATACATCTAAAAGATGGGGATGCAACTCAGTAGCAAGCATTTGCCTAGTGCCTGATTACTAACCCTCCACATACACAAACAACAACATTTTCAAAGTATAAACCCAGTGCCTGAATGCTGAGACACCCTGCTACGTCTTTAGAATCATACAGAGAAGCCATGTACCCCTTCAACACTCTCCAAGTAACAAAGGTCTTTTCTAGGTAGTGTTTTTCTACTTGTGTAATTGCCAAAATTGTCCTAGCTTCTCCCCTTCTGCTCTGCAAATATAAATTCAACTACAATATGGGTTAAGTGCATTCCTGTGGGCCATTCTGGAAATCCAAACACAAGCATTCAGCATTTGCTTGCTGAAGAAAAGTGAACTCAAAACCCTAAACAATTGCTTTAGAGTGAATGTTGGAAAATATTAACTACTGTAATTTACCATGGAACATTTTGGCTGGAGAGGTCAATTTAAAAGTCAGTTTGATGCCTGGATTCTGTGGTTTTCATCTGTTAAATCATGACATTAGCTGAGATTAGCACTTACAAAGCTATCCAGGAATAACTTATCTAGGCAGACATCAATTCTTCTTCATCTATTAAATCATGACATTAGCTGAGATTAGCACTTACAAAGCTATCCAGGTATAACCTATCTAGGCAGACATCAATTCTTCTTTTAGCAAATGAAAAAAAAACCATGATAACTACATCCTGATTTCATGCGTTATGGAATATCCTAGAAAGTTATTAAATTCATTTGTATGACTAGGTATAGCTACTTGGTTTAAAAATTTTCAAAATTGAAATGGCTCTCTTCTTGAATGCAAATTCAAATAATAAAAGGGTTTGTTTGTATCTTTATGTGTCAAGGTTTGGATTTAAATTACATTTTAAAAATGCAGATTAGTGGATGAATAAATGGCTAAGAGGTGACTGCTTGCTATCCTTCCAGAGGACCTGAGTTCAGTTCCCAGTACCCACATCCTTTGTCTCACAACCCCCATGACTCCAGCTTCAAATGAACATTCACCTTCTTCTGGCCTCTGTGGGCACCCATATACATGTAACATACACAAGAAGATGCACACACAGATAAGTACAAATAAATATTTAAAATACAAATTATTTGAGGTCATATGATTAAAGTGACATTGGTTTCATGCTTATATGATCAAATCATAGATGAAGTCTTTGCGTGTACATGTGTACATAGTATATACATGTGTGCACGTGTGTCTGCAGACGTGTTTCCCAAGTGACATATGTAGAAGCCAGAGTTTGAGGCTATATTCTCCCCATTCCTTATTGTTTGAGGCAAAGACTCTCGTGGAAGCTGCAGCTCTCTGTTTGAGCTGAGATGGGCTCATCAGGAAGGACCTTAAATCCCCCTGCCTACCACCCAGCCACTGCTGAGGTCACAGAGACACCCTGTCTGCCCAGCTGTGACATGGCGCTGTGGATCAAACCTCAGGCACTCATGCTTGTGCAGCAAGCATTTTATCCACTGAGCCATCTGCCCAGCCCCAGAAGTTTGCTCTTAAACTAAAGATCAGCAAGGAGCTCAAACTTCATGGTTTTGTTCACAAAAGGTTTCAATTTTCCAGTTGCTAAACTTGAGTGTAAAAAAAAATAAAGACTTATAAACCTGGCATCAAATAACTGAATATTTAATGAAATAAGAAACAAGATATAGTATCCATAGATGGACATGGGAATACAATTTCAAAAATGTCTCTATAGAACATTTTCCTAATTGGTTCATAATTCAAGGTAAGGGTTGCATAATTTTTTCTTTAAAATTATTCCCATATTCCTAGTGCTGGAATTAGTTTCCCCTCAACATAAGTGATACAAATTAAAGTCACAAGTACATACCATCCAATCAACTTCATCAAAATTCTGTAACAATGGACATTCTATATAAATTCTAGATGCACAGCATCTAGATAACCGCAAAACTACAAGAATGACATCATAAAAAAGCTGTGTCGTGTACAAGGTATTTTAAACAACTGCCCATCAAACTCGGCATTTGATCTGACATATTTGCATTTTTGAAAAGAGATAATTTTTCTCTGATAATATATATCATTTGAATACTAACATTTGGGTGGTACAAGCTAAAACACTGACGATAATGTTTTCAAAACATTACTTTTAAATTATTTTCTTAGGACCCAAAGAGAAAACAGCAGACGAAACATAACCAGACTGAATTGTTTAAAATGTATTTTCTCTTTAATTAAATAAGAAACATCTGTCCAGGGATTCTGGAAGTGAATGTAATCCATCCACTCTCTGCCTGTAGTATTTTGCATTCAATGACCAATAGTTTGAAAGAAAGTTCTTTCTTTCTGTAAAGCATTAGAACGGCAAGCACCCCAGGTCGCAGTCTGGATCTACTGCAGGGAACATCTTGCCTCTGGACTTGGGAAGTAGAGAACAACAAATGTTCTGAAACGAGTCCTTTTCCATCTGTATTTGAGGCACAACCAGATTCTCTCTACAGTCAAGGTAACTCTGGCTGGCCTTGAACTCACAGAGACTCACCTGCCAACTAAGCGCTAGGATTAAAAGCATGTACCACCAATCCCCACAAGGTTGTATAACTTTCTATTCCGCCCAGACAGCCACTTGCCGTTAACGCTCACCTCTGAACAGTAGGGAAACAGAAGTTATCAGATGCACCCAAAACACTCAGATTTAGCTTAGAAGGGCAAAGAGAAGGCACATTTGCCCCAGGGATGGCTCTGGTTCTTTTTAACCAGGGGCCACAATGCGGAAGAGCATCACTTACTGGTGGTGTCAAACGGTATCTGCTTGCATTGTGCAGATCCCTCTGCGGGCCAGGGACAGTAGTAGACAGCTCCCCCTTCCACGATATCCGGCTGGCTAGTGTTGGCTTTGGGCGCCCCCACCAAAACGCTGGCTCTACAAAGGAGTTGGAGAAAGTCACTCCTCAGGGCTCATAAACCTGTGCACACGAAATTCAGTCCGTAGCAGCATGCCTACTGGACTGCAGCAGGGATGGGGGCACAAGCAGATTTACGATGGAGAGACTGTCAAACTTGATTTCCTCTTTGGAAGACTATGAGCTTTAGAAATGTGGTTTTGGAAGAGGCTGCTAATGGTTCTATCTAGATGGAGGTAGGTGGAGACTGATGGGGAAACCAGAGGACAGATCCCAACCGCTTGCAACCTAAGGCGCGTGCACCCTGACCTTAGTTGCTACTAACTGTGTTGTGGTCTTTATTTTTAAATTGAATCTATCTGGTTCCATTCTCTCCTTTGTATGATGCTCCTGTCTTTGAATCCGGATTTATATGCAAGTGTAGCGTCTCCAAAGTTCACAGGGCTCATCTATCTAGCATGAGCCTTGAGAGAAGTTGGTAGCAGGCAGAAAGCAGAATCCGATCTCGTGTGGGCAGTTGGCTAGAATCTCAGATACCCTTTCCTCTGGGATGCAGAGACAGGCGAGGAGGAACTGGGACCCACCCGGGAGCTAGCCACCAACCCAACCCAGAGACTTACGTGCGTGCATCAGGTATGTAGAAGTCCAGTGAGTAGCCGAAGTAACTGCCCTCAGGGCCAGTGTACACCGTGAGCTTGTCCACGTCCAAGTTGAACGCCAGCGACACGGGGGACCACAGCATCCCCAGCACGGCCGAGATGCAACAGAGACGCGCGAACGGAGGCACCCGGTTCCCCGGGGAACCGCGGTGAGTTTCCGCAGACATCGCCTTCCGCCCCGAACTCTGCTCACCCGGAATCTGGAGCCGTGGAGTCCGAGGAAAAGGCCGGATGCTCCCCTGAGGCCGGTGTCCTAAGTCGGTGAGCTCGGCGCGTCCGCAGTGACAGTCCTTGCGTCCTGTGCGGCCCGCCGATCCCGCCGCTCTGGGCTTGCAGCAGTGGATCCCGCGCTCGACTTTCTCCAGCAGCTGGCTAAGGCCTGCGCGCTCTTGGCGCCCTCCAGCGGCAGGTTCCCAAGATGCAGGTCGAGCTTGAGGTCCAGCACAGGGACAGACACCCCATGCCTTGGTGAGTCTGCTGAGTTTCCACAGCAGTTGCGATTTTAGGGGCCATCTAAATCTCATGGATGTCACCTCAATTCATTGTTTTTGAGAAGTAGTGTTCCATACGAGAATATACAGATTTCCCACAATTGGGCGACTCGGATGGACGCATACAAAGTGTATTCCACCTCCAGAAAACAGTGATTGAGTACCACCTCTACCCTTGAGGGATTTTTAGGGACAATGAGCTTCTTCCTCTGTGAATGGGAGTTTGAGATTTCAATGCAACAACCCTCTTCCTCTCCTACTCTGCTGACATACGAATAAATCCTGCAGATTTTCTCCAGTCTTTCTCAAAGGCATCTCGGGTACACTTTATGTCTTCGTAGTAAACCTCGATCCCGTGAAGTGATGGCGAATAGTTCACAGTTTACGAAAGCAGGGCTTGGGGGTCAAAGCTGGAATCAACAGGAACTCTACCCCGAGAATATTAATTGTTGAGTTTTTGAGGAACATGAAGATGAAGGGAGGAGAGGATTGTGATATAAATGGGCTTTGAAGACACAGGTGACAAAACAGCTGAGCTCACAGAATTTAAGAGTAGGAAAGGAAGTGTGAGATGTGGCATATACTTGAAATTCCAATATAGGGGTTTGAGGGGCAGCTGAGGTAGAGGGGTCTTTAGTTTGAGGAGCATCTCAGGGAGGATGAAAGACAAGATAAGGGTTCACTCTGAGTCTAAAGGCACCTACTTAGGAGAAAAGAAGCAGAGTGGATGAGTAAGATGCCAGTCTGTGCTGTGCTGGTGGTGGCACACTCCTTTAATCTCAGCACTCAGGAGGCAGAGGCAGGTGTATCTCTGTGATTTTTGAAGCCAGCCTGAAGTACAGAGTAAATTCCAGGACATCCAGGGCTGCTACACAGAGAAACCCTGTCTCAAAAACCAAAACAAAAGATGACAACTTGTGCAGAATTAGTACCATTCCCTACAACTGGGGGAGCCATCGATAGGTTGATACAACTTAGAAAGACTAGACAAAAATCTCAGCCTACTGAAAAAAATCATATTTTCATATCCCCTTTCCATCACAACCTGCTCAGTAGAATGATTTCAGTTTTGTGTTTCTACTTGTTCCTGTTTTAAAAAATCAAAATAAGCAAGCTGTCACCAGATCCCTGGATAATAGTCACATAATCACTCCCAACTTTGTTGTCTTTTCCCAGATATAAGGATTGAGGAGTAGATGGTAGACCAGTTGGTTGTTTTCCTTCTCTATCCTGAAGTCCATTTGTGTCGGACACAGAGTCTGCTGCTTTGATTAAGTTATTGCTACTAATAAAGTGAGAGTCCCCAGCAGGAGTTTGAATGAACAAGCCACATGAGGCACATGTGGAGGTAAGTGCTCAGAGCTGTGATG